ACTACTGATCATGATACTGAGTTACCTATTTTTTTGCGGAAAGGAACTCGATTTTGTACTAAACACTCTATACAGGATTACATTTCATTCAGCAACTTGTCCTCAAAGCATCATGCATATGTAAGCAAACTTAATGGCAGCCCCACTGAATCTAAAACCATTCATGAAGCCCTTGCATTGCTAATGTGGAGAGGTGCTATTCAAGAAGAGATTAGAGCTCTTGAAAAGAATAAGACTTGGGAACTGATAGAAATTCCACTGGAAAAACATAAAGTTGGGTGTAAATTAGTATTTACTGTAAAACACAATCTTGATGGAAGTGTGAATCGGTACAAAGCTCGTCTAGTAGGTAAAGGCTTCACTCAGTTCTACGGGATAGACTACTAGGAGACATTCGTCCCAGTGGCTAAGCACAACACTATCCGGATATTACTCTCTCTTGCCTCTAATCTTGATTGGTTTCTCTGTCAACTTGATGTAAAGAATGCATTTCTCAATGGAGATTTAGAAGAAGAGGTATATATGGAAGTTCCTCCAGGTCTTGAGACTATATATAAAACTCACAAGGTATGCAAACTCAAAAAGACACTCTATGGTTTAAAACAATCTCCGAAAGCTTGGTTTGACAGATTTACCAAAGCAGTTAAATATATGGGTTATGAACAATGTCAGTCTGATCATACTTTGTTTGTCAAGAACAATGCCTCTGGTAAGAAAGCTATCCTAATTGTTTATGTTGATGATATTATTTTAATAGGTGATAACATAAAGGAAATTAAAAAACTCAAAAGTTTTCTTGTCACTGAGTTTGAGATAAAAGATATTGGAGCACTCAGGTATTTTCTGGGAATGGAATTTGCTCGTTCTAAAAAAGAAATATCTGTGTCAAAAAAGAAATATGTTCTTGACCTACTAAAAGAAATAGGGATGCTCGGGTGTAAACCAGCAGAAACTCCCGTGGAAACAACTACAAAAGTTGGATTTAAAAAAGGCAAGCCTGTTGATAAAGAAAGAAATCAAACACTTGTGGGCAAACTTATATATCTTGCTCATACTAGACCTGACATCAGTTTTGCTGTAAGTATTGCAAGTCAATTCATGAACCAATCTACTGATATTCATATGAATATGGTATATCGGATCTTAAGATATCTTAAAAAAACTTCAGAATAAGGACTATTTTTTCAAAAAACAATGAACGTGAATATTGAAATCTTCAGAGATGCTGATTAGGCGGGTTCTATAACTGACAGAAGATCTACGTCTGGGTACTATACTTACGTTTAGGGAAATTTAGTCATTTGGCTGAGTAAGAAACAATCTGTTTTGTCACGAAGTAGTGCAGAAGCTGATTTTCGGTCACTTGCTCATGGAATATGTGAGGGAATTTGGTTAAAAAGAGTTCTAATGGAAATGAAATTCTTGGTCACTATTCCAATGAGCTCCCCTTTTTACCTAGCATAATAACTAAATAACTACACAGGCTTAGAAGACTAGCAGTTCTACTAAGAGGATAAGAGTGAGTTGGCAAAGGCTATTCTTATCATTCCTTCCCTTGATCTGATAGTGCTAAGTAAGAAGGGCCTAAATAACATTACCAGTAATTCAAGGCAAGCGCATAAGAGAGCTAAGTATGGTGCGACAATAAAGTAACAATCAGCATAGCTAAAAATCCGGTATATCATGATCGAAATAAACACGTGGAAATAGATAAACACTTCATCAGAGAGAAGATTGAAGATCAGACCATCACAATACTTCACGTTTCTACTAATCAGCAAACTGCAGATATTTTACCAAAGACACTTTTCAAAGGATTCTTCAACGAATTAATATCCAATTTAGGCTTACTAAACATTTATGTAACCTAGATTGAGAGGGAGTGTAGAATTATTTTTCTGTATTTTTTCTTTTTCTGTATTTTACAACCTGGCAATATAACAAATTGGTTACTGCCAGGTTGTGCTGTTTTTTCCCTTCTACTAGGGGAAGTTTGTTAGTTTTTGTCTCTTTCTTCCTTCCTTCACCTATAAAATTTGTTGATTATCAATGAATAAAAGCGTGAGAAGAAAAAAGAATTATTTCTTATTCTCAAGTTCTTCGCAATCGTTTCATGTGAGCATGCTCTAAAGTTCGCAATGTGAGCTTCACAGGCACCTGGTATTGATCACTTGTATTGATTTTGCAACCGTAGAGGTTTATGCTTAAAATTTGTTAGGAATTAAAATAAGGTTCATATTTGTTATTAATTTAGCTAGGCTTTTTTTGGTAGAGTTATTACTTTAGATTTATCTATTATCGAGTTTCTTGGGGTATGTTTTTCACTTACAATGAATATTATTGCACTTGTCCAAATAATGGATGATTGAGTCAAATTTTCTCCCTTATTTCATTTAAAATATCTTGCTACAGTGTTTTCCAATATCCAATTCAATTGGGACCTGGAATGCAGGTGGAAACTTGTGGAGATTGATGCTGATTTGTCAGATTTGACATTGGAAACAAAGCATGTGATGTCACTCATAAATCCTGCAGACACTTACATGGTACGGATATTGTGTGCTATAGCTGCCATGAAAGGATGTTTCTCAGTAGCTACCAAGCAATGGATGTTTCCTCAGCATGCTTATCTCCTTTTGTGTGATGTGTACTTGCTAGAGATGATGTATTTCAATATTCCAAAATTTCCTTATATGATATATGCAATTCTTTTGGTTCATTTCTCCTTGATGAAAATACTTTTAACTTAATATTTCAGGACCTAAATATTGGAATAGCTTTATGGCTTGCTTCTGGTGGCAATGGTTGGGTTAGTGAAGGAATAGGAGATGAGCTGGGTGAAAATTATCAACGTATAAGCTACAAGTCCGAGGCCAGGATACTTCTTGTTGGTGCTGGTGCTGATGAGCAATGTGCTGGATATGGAAGACATAGAACAAAGTATAGAAATAGCAGGTATGTATTTGTCATGAATGGACTGGGTAATGTGCATGAGTTCATACCAGTTACATGAGAAAACATGATGCACGTACATCACAGCAACTAAAGTGCATTTCGTGTGTTCCCTACTAATAGATCTAGTTATGGATTGCTTTACATAGAAATTTGTAGAAAATTTTAATTTTTTGAGTGAGTTTCCTTGTCTTCACCTATTTTGAATGTATTAGGCTCATTAAGAGAGAATCTACAACCTCTTAAATAAATAACTTCACGACATTTTAACAATTTTCTTCCATATTATTGACATATTAGAAATAAAGATTTACAAAATAGAGATGATAGGAACAGTGCCTGTTCTTAGCAGAATATAGTAACTGCTACAACTTCCTATTCTTATCTTCCTAGATTTTCTTAGTCAACTTTAGCGACTACATTAAACTGGACAGAGTTTATTCCTGTACTTCCTGTGTACAAACACATAAAACACCCAAACACCTAAAGCTGGAAGTAGTTAATTCTGAAAAACAAGATTATTTCTTCCTTTGATAAAGTTTGGCGAATTGAATGATCTTAGGATTTAGGATTCCTAACAGCATTGCACATTTTCTTTTAGGTTTGAAGAACTAAGAATGTCTTAACTCTGTGAGATTAATTGCCTTTAATAAGAAAAGGATATCAAAACTGCCTTGTCGTTGCTTATTGACATGCTTTAGGCTCTGTTTAGTAGTGGTTGACAGAAAAGGTTTTTCAAAAAAAGCTTGCTTTTTGTTGCTGTGGGTAAAAGTTTGTTGTTGTATCAAAATCAAGTATAATGTTTGGTAAATTGTTTTCCACAAAATGTTCCTGAAGTATATCACACATAATATTTGTGTTTGGCACTGATGCTTTTAAAGATATTTTGATATTAACTATAATATGATTTTGTTGCACTTACAGAAAAATTTTCTTTTTCTAGAATTTCAAATATGTTTATATATATTATGTGATACTTTTAGGAGATTATCAGTTTATTTGGTAAGTAATAAATATTCATTAATTATATTCTTTGCTCTTCTTAAAAGCAAATTTGTTTCTTTGGAGAACAACTGTATTGCTTTCTGAAAGTAGCCAGTATTTACCTTTTTCAATTGATATTTTTTTAAAGCTTTGATTATGCTTTAGAAAAAGCTACTATAGAAAAGGCAATCAACCAAAGCTTAAAAAAAGTTGTGCAAGATCCTATAATTAGTTTCAGTGGAATACTTGTTTGTATTACTCTACTTATTTTTGGTGGCTGATGTGCTGTCAGTTGGCTAGGTCTACATGAAGAAATGAAATTGGACATGCAGAGAATTTGGAAAAGAAATCTAGGGAGAGATGATAGATGTATTGCTGATAACGGGAAGGAGGTTCTGATACTGCTTTTTTAGAAAACATTAATTATTGTCTTTCTGAGGTCTGTTATGTATTTACCAAGATCTTTTTGTTTCAGGCTAGGTTTCCATTCTTGGATGAAGATGTAATAAAGAGTCTGCTTGATATTCCCTTATGGGATATAAGTGACCTCAATCAACCGAGTGGGAAAGGTGATAAGAAGATTCTAAGAGAGGTCAGTGCTATTTTTTGGTCAACATTCTTTCGGTATTTCGGGAAAATGAGATGTGATTTGTCATACTGTGATGGTATTCAGAATTTCTTTGCTTGAAAGAGTAATAATGTCATCTCATTTTGCAGTTTTGCAATTAAGCATCCTTGAACAGGTCCTTTATCGTAATATAGATGCCCTGCTGAGGCAGACACATGAGGGAGAACTCAGATTAGGTGTCAATTTGGCAGTTAGCTTTTAGCGGTGTTTGCTCAGTGACCCTCCACCTTGCTTCACCCTAGATAACCAGCTTCTCTATCAAAGTATTATTTCTGCCATGCTCCATTCCCTACCTACTATTTTTGGAAGGTAGATTGACAGTTAAATCCTGTTACAATCTTATACGTCTGCTTAATGGTATGCTGGATAAGTTTCCACAGAAGCACAGATGGAAAACAAAGGCTATCCCTGGGATTTCCTTTTTCCCTTGGGAGGCAGCTTTGGCAGAATCTTAACCATTGACAATCTCATGAAGAGGGCATACCACTGTCAACCAGTGGTTCCTATGTCTCAATGACTGTGAGCTCCCTGTCATTATTCTTCTATGGTGCTTGGAAGCTAGTAAGTTTTGGGATTTTGCATTGAACCTTCTAATCTGTCTTGGTTTGTTAGTGTGGTAGCACTGCGGATTAGAAATTCATAATATAGGGAAATTAAAGAACAGAAAAGGTTAAATAGTAATCTATAGTTACAAGAATTGACAACCACAATCACAGGGTTGTCATAATCACAATCATAGGATTGGTGGGTACTCAATTAAATAAGAGAAATTAATAGTTTTGTTTATAACCAGTCTGCTAATAATGTGAAGCACCCATGTAGCTGTAGGTAAACCATAGCCTAATATGACCAGAGTTCTTAAATCGGAAAACAAAAACAAAATAGGACTTTTAAGTAAGAATTAAAACCTGAACGACGTGTAAAAGTTTTGACAAAATATAATAATTGTGGTGTAGCTCTATATCAATAGAAACTATGCTAAATGGTTCCACATGGTGCAACCCACTTCCAAGAAGCAAAAAGGTTCTCTCTCTTTTCTTCTATTTTTTTGGGTAACTTGGAAAGAGAGAAACAAAAGAGCTTTTGATCACTCTTCTACTCCTTCATGTCCATCAGGGATCATTCCTTCAGAATTCTCAATTTTTGTATAGGAACCTGTCAGGACCAGGGAATGCTGGGAAATAATTTCTACTTGTGTTTTCTGTTATTGATTTAGCTACAAAAGAATTTCCAGTATAAGGACAAATAGGTCAGTTGTCATTTTACCTGATATCTAGTTTGTTATTTTCTGTTCTATTCTCTATGGTACTGCTATATATAGTACCAAGATTTATAGAAGAATTATGAAGAAAATATTAGTAAAATTATCAGTATCTTCCTTAACAGTATTCTTCTTCTATCCTCACGACTCTCTTCTTTTTCCTATCTCCTCTCTCTGCGGATCTCCCTTTTTCTACATCCTCCAGCCCTAGAACTCTTCAAAAACTAAACTCAAACCTGCTTCCTAGCTGCTGTTACACAACAAGGGTCCTGACAAATGGTATCAGAGCCAACAATCCTTGGTGGAGATTGTAGAACTTGTGCCAAAGCTAGTTTCCTCCTATTGGAAACTGTAATGATTCCATTTTTTTCCTCTCATTGATGATGAGGTAAGAGTGGAGGTTGTAGAATCTGTTGTGATGGTTGAGAAGCTGGATGAATTTGTCGAGGAGACAAAGCATGTTAAAAATATTGGAAATGAAGGTGGCTTGGTGGATGAGCATGAAGTAATTGTTAAAATTCCCCAACCATAATATTTTTCTGCATTTGTTTCTATCGACTTGTCATATTACTTCATCTAACCTCACAATTGGTGTTGATGGAGACATGAAAGTTTTGATTGTTATGGATGAAATCCAGAAGTTATCCACGACTAATGAGAAGATTCTACATAACCATTCACACCAGGTGTTTGAACAAGATCCTTTATCAAAACAGTAGGTTTCTTTTTTTTTTTTTTCCTTTTTGCAACTGATGGCAAATAAGAGAAAATTCATTACATTTGCAGATGATAGAGATGGACGCACACAAATTAATATTTGGTTATATACCAAATTTGATCTCTATCAAACAAGTCTAGCTACACTCTTTGAAGATTTTTTCACACTCTCCTTATTCCACTTCAAATTTCTTTCATGAGTAGTGGTTAAATGTCATTAAAATATGCAACTCTCTTTGGTGTCATATTTGTTCAAAGGACAGCATGATTATCATGGCAATGAAGATTTGAGGGTTACTTAAGTTCATCGTTAAGGACAAGGATGCTTTCATGAGGAGGGTATTTTCGGACCTGGGAGTGCTAGAAAATAATTTCTGCTTGTGTTTTGTGTTATTAATTTAGCTAAAAGAATATCCAGTACATGGACAAGTGGCCAGCTGTCATTGTATCTGGTACCTAGTTTGTTATTTTCTTTTTTATTCTCTCTGGTACAGCTATATATAGAACCGAGATTTGTAAAAGAATTGTGAAGAAAATATCAGTAAAATTATTCTTATCTTCCCTAACATTATTCTTCTTCTATCCTCACGGCTCTCTTCTTTTTCCTCTCTCTTCTCCCTCTGTTGATCTCCCTTTTTCTACCTCCTTCAGCCCTAAAAGCTTCAAAACTAAACCAAAACCTGCTTCCTAGCTGCTTTTACACAACGAGGATCCTGACAGAACCTACCTTTGTTGGATTATTTAAATATTATTGACCTTTTGAAAAGCTTCTATTTGTTATTTTCTGAAATAAAAAGTATGAATATATTAACAAAGCACCAAGGGGGTGCAACTCATATACAAAAGTATTATATATTCGTTAGACAATCATTATATACCCAAAATCATCCACCCTATACAAGGCATGCCCAATAATTAGCGAACCAAATAAGTGGAACCATCTGTCTCTAATCTTAGAATATTATTTTCGGTTTCCTCAAACATCCTTCCATTTGTTTCCTTCCAAACAATCCAAAAAACAGTTAAAGGGATTAATCTAGTTAGCTTCTTTTTCTTTTTACCAAAACCAGTCCAAGCCCCCAATTCCTCTTTGATCGTGCCTGCCACCGTCCAGTTAACCCCTAAAAGCCTGAAAATCATAGACCACAACTCATGGACAGCAGAACAATGAAGGAGAAGGTGACTGCAGGATTCCTCCTCTCTCTTTTACACGTGTAACATCTGTTAGCCATCACCAAACCCCTTTCTCATCAAATTATCAACAGTAAGGATACAGTTTCTGCTGGCTTCCCAAGCAAAACAAGGCGATCTTTGGAGGGGCCTGAACCCTTCAAATCTGATTAGCAGGGAAGCACAAATGTCTACTGCCCCATCTGTTAGCTTCTCTTTGTTACTTTGTATGTTACTTGTGCCTTGAATGTTACTTGTCCTTTTTTCTCTAATAAAAAATTGAAGGTAGATGCTTTCTCTATTGTTTCTGATACAAAAGATTGTTGTTTTGTCTAATTGTTGAAATTTTAATTCCTAACTTATGGTCACATGTTGCTTGTCCTGATCAAGTATAAAATGTTCATTGCATTGAAGGTTGCTCAATTGCTTGGTTTACATGAAGTAGCTGTTCTGCCTAAAAGAGCAATTCAGGTGTGCTTCCTCTATTGGCTCTTTTCAGTGCGACTATTGATTTTGTGTTTGTGAAGCCACTTACATCATCCATCTCGAGAAATCCTTAATCTTATTGCGTTTATTTGGTTTATCTCATCTATTTTGTTACTTCTTCAATCAGCTCAATGTTGAGCTATGAGGATTGGTACTAACAGACTGATGAATGGATAAGTTCAGATGTTATATATGAATTTATCTTATGGTATTGAATTATTTTTTCTACTGTTTTGTTTTCCAGATTTAAGATAAATTTACCATTGAAATGATAAATCATATGTGTAACTTTCTTTTTCATTTTTAGTGAATATTTTTGTGGTCCTACTCATGGTCTAAAGCTAGTTCTTTGGGTATCACATATCACCCAATTTTAAATAAACATAGATGATATTAACAAAAAAGCATATTTACATAAGTGATGGGAAAGTAGTTTAATAAGTTATATTTTTTTAGTGGGACCCTTTCTTACTTGATTCCAACATATAGGACATTTGGCATGAGAAGATAGAATCTAAGCTAATGGATTTAACTTCTAAGGCTACTTTATTAGCGATGGATGTTTTTATCCCAAATATCTAACAAGATAACATCTAAAGGTTTTCTTGATTGCTTGTATTTAGTTTGGCTCAAGAATTGCCAGGGAATCAAATCGAAAGAATTTTGGAAGTAATCGCGCTGCAAACCAGGCCTCCGCAGGAAGTGCAGTAATTCATGTGTCATCAGACTCAGTTTGAACTACATATGTTAGAGTTCTACTTTGCTGTCTTCATGGTATATGCTCAATATTACATTTTTAGCATTTTATAGTAATTTGATAACTTCATATAATAATCACTTAAATGTTTTGTAGTAATTAGATGACATTGTAAGGTAACCTTGTGGTATTGTGCTACAATGGCTAATTATTGTATTATCAAGTGATTCTCACACAAAATTACTAAATTACTATTAAATATTAGAAGTTATCATAGATGCACTATGAGAATTTTCATACTGGAATGCTCAATTCTCTGGTTTATCAGGTGTTGCCTGGTGCTCATGAGGCTTACAAGCTTAGCACCAGTTATTTCTCATCAGCCTGCCCTAGCCCACATCGATTGGCTCGCTGCTTCTGCAATGCCAGAATGTGTCAGGACAATAGATGAAAATTTAGACGATTGAAGTGAGATTTTGCAGGTAAAAGAAGTCATTACTCATTTTTTATTGCCAGCTTATGAGTTTGATATACAAGAACCTGTGAGAAGTATGTAGAAGACGAGATGGAGCAGTAGTTGGTTTATTATAATGGATGATATTGACCTCCATGTTATTTACACCTTCTGAGCTTGTGTTATTTTGAATTCAAAATCTTTGTAAACTGACCAGTGCAATAAATGCATTAAACGTCTGATCCAATAGAATCTGTGGCGAATTTTGTTTTTAATTAAATAATTTTGTAGTCATTTTCTTCGTGTCACTGGTGTAACTCCTGTAATTGCTGTTCTTCCTGTGACAGTTTCTCTGAGTATCAACTACTGGCTCCTCTTTGCTTTTCCACTCCCATTTCTGATTAACTCCATACACTGTACCCTCAAATCATCGGAATATTGTACTCTTGCAGTGTTTTAAACCCATCTTCCTCTCTCTCTTTCCACAGAATCTCATGTCATGCTTCATTCTTCCACAAACAAAGCAAAATGGAGGTAACTGCTCGGATTTAAAGATAACCAATTCCTTTTAGCTCTGGACGTTTATTAGGGTGTCTCTATTTCATTTCTAAACATTCAGAGAAACACACGTTGTTAGAAAAGTAGTTCTTCCCCTAATCGGAGTTTCATCAATTGAAATAGGGTAATCCTTATTCTTTGCACAGCACCAAATCACTTGTCATGCCCCTTTTGGAAGATCAAACACGGGGCCCCAATATTTCAGCGTGAAAGCATTAGATCTTGTTCCCCCTCAACGACATTCAAGATAGAACACTAACTGTCAAGGGGCACCTTGCATTACACGAATAATTTTTTTTTTTCTTTAACTGAGAGGAAAAAATTATGGGACCAGATTTGGGCTTCCAATTTTCCCATTGGCTTCCATAATTGGTTCATCATAGCCAAAAGTCCCTGGCATTGAAGATTTTTTTTGTTGTTGCAACAGTCTTACCAGAAAAAAAAAAAGCAGATGATCATTTAGGGTCCAATGTATTGGTCGAGGAGAGATCCAAACTATCACATTTAGACTCAATTAGATTGCAGGGTTGAGAAGAAGTCGCCATAGAAAGTGGTAGGATTTCCAATCCTAGTGAGCATTATATGTCTTTGAAAGCACATACACATTTCAGACAAGACACAAAATTAATAAAGCATATGGAAAAGTAATAATACCAAAATAGAAAACAAAAATTAAGAAAGATATAACTGATGAAAGAAATAGATAAATATTTTCATGAAGAAAACAATAGAAAACCCCTAAACTATAATGATGGCGCAGCCAACAACAATGATACTCAAACCCATTCGCGGGAGAAACTACTCACCTCATATGAGAAAATTCAATTACGGCAGTGTCAATCTAAAAAAAAAATTATATTACTTAAAAAATCCAAAATAAAGCTAAAACCTAATAATTACGCTCCAAATTAGCCAATTTCAAAAATAAATTTATAAATTAAATTAAATCAGAAAATAAAAAAGGACTAAAATGAACATATTATTCAAAAGGGGCAAAAATATAAATTTTGGAAGTTTTGACACTAAGGGAGGACATTTCGGTCACGCAGATTGTTTAGATGGGCGACTGGATGAACAGGTAGATCGCGAGAAATGAATGGCTCAGATGAAGAGGTGTGAAGAACGATCCAGATTATTTGAAAGGAGACTGATGATTAGGAAGAAAAGAACTTAAAAAAAAACCTTAATTGGGTTTCCTTGCAGAGAAGGGTAGCTCGAGCCATGTCGGGGCCAAGAGGCTTCGACCGCGCGAGGAAGAGGGGAGAGAAGCGATTTACAATACTTTTATTCGGCCGCTCTTCCCTTTCGAAAAGAGCTAAATCGTAATTTGGCATGGGGCCCATTGGGCTTAAGTTTTCCAAAGCATATTGAACCTTTCCCCCCGATCTAAGGGTATCAATATAAAGAGATTTTTCTTCCTCCACTCACCTTCATGGGTGAATGGAGTTAAATACACTCTTTCTTGACTAGTTTAATCTACTCTATTATGACCCTGTTTGTTTGGTAGTAAATGATAATCAATTAATGTATAGTACTCCATGAGTGTGATAAAATTTTGTTTGTTTCAACTTCAAACCTGATGAAATGGTAGCAAACGATATCTGACAGCCAAATTTGTTATGAATTTTAAAAATTACCGAATCGGTGGTATATGACCGACAAATAATTTTCTTTCTATTATACCTTCATAAAATATGCTTAATTCTTGTTATACTCTTGTAAATAAACACCTTATGTAAAACCCCAAAAACTTAAGAAATAGAAATATTGAATTAAGAAAATATAAGCAGAAGCAATTCAAAGTTTATGGTTTACATTTCTTACACAGTAAATTAGGATACGTAATAGGATTACAGGAATTTCCTTTTAAAGAAGTTTAAATAACAAAATAAATAATCAAAACAAAACATAACTAAAAATTTTATAGGGCTAACATCCGTTGGCCAACTCTGATGGGATTCGGGAGGCAACTTTTATTCACAACTTTCTTACTGTTCAGGATCTGATCTTGATCTTTCTGATATGAAATTATTAAATAAAGAAAATGAACTACACTAACTAAGTAAGAATATTACACTTAACATAGATATGGAAAATCAAATATTGATAAAAATCGTCAAAAAACCAATGAAGCCCTTGTTTCTTTTTAAATAAATTTGTTTAACTTAAAAACCGTTATTCCATACTTACCTTTATGGATTTTCAAAATCGATATATGAAAACAATAACCCGAATCACATTTTTATTTTACACTCAAAGGAACAATACTAATAAATTTACCTCCTAACCTGTTTACTAGTGCCTCTGGGGGTCCACAGAGATATCCCTCTACGCGTGAATCCAATATCAAACTATCAATCAACCGGCCGTTCTAATATCACGTCCAGTA